AATTTCACATTGATATCAATAATATCATACTAATTAGGCAACATTAGAAAGTTGTAGCTAGTAGATTAGAGGATTTGGAAAGGCACACAAATAGTATGTCTATCTGTGGGACAGATAGTAGGAGATATACCTTGTGAAGATTCTGGAGCCCACAACAACAGTAAAGAATTTAAAGGTCCAGAGGACAAGTGTATGTAAGAATATCTTCTCTTGAGTAAAAGAAAAATTGCAGCATCTTGCACTGTATTAGTCTGTTCTCACACTACTAATAAACACACCTGAGACTGGGTAATTTATAAAGGAAAAATGTTTAATGACTCACAATTCAGCATGGTTAGAGAGGCCTCAGGAAACTTATAATCATGGTAGACGGGGAAGCAAACACAGCCTTCTTCACATGGTGGCAGGAAAGAGAAGAATGACAGTTAAGTGAAGGAGGAAATCCCCTATTAAACCTTCAGATCTAATGAGAACTTACTCACTATCACAAGAATAACATGAGGGAATCAGCCCCCATGACTCAATTACCTCCCACCAGGTCCCTCCCACCACATGTGGGGATTAAGGGAAGTACAATTCAAAATGAGATTTGGGTGGGAACACAACCAAACCATATCATCCTGCCTCTGGCCCCTCCAAAATCTCATGTTCTCACATTTCAATAAGACAATCATACCTTTCCATCAGTGCACTAAAATCTTAGCTCTTTGCAGCATTATCCAAAAGTCTGAGTCCAAAGTCTCATCTGAGATAAGGCAAATCCGTTCTGTTTATAAGCCTTTAAAATCAAAAGCAAGTTAGTTACTCATTAGATACAATGTGGGTGCAGGCATTGGGTAAATACACTCATTCCAAATTTGAAAATTGGAGAAAACAAAGGGGCTACAGGCCCCATACAAGTCCAAAATCCAGCAAGGCAGTAATTAAATCTCAAAGCTCTAAAATAATCTCCTTTGAATCCATGTCTCACATCCAGATCACACTAATGCAAGAGGTGGGTTTCCATGGCCTTAGGCAGCTCCACCTCTGTGGCTTTGCAGAGTACAGCCCCCTCCTGCCTGCTTTCATGGGCTGGCATTGAGTGTCTGCTGCTTTTCCAGGCACATGGTGCAAGCTGTCAATGGATCTATTCTGGGGTTTGGAGGACCGTGACCCTCTTCTCACAGCCTCACTAGTCCCCAGTTGGGGAATCTGTTTGGGGGCTCCAACTCTACATTTCTCTTCTGCACTGCCCTAACAAAGGTTCTCCATGAGGGCTCTGCCCCTGCAGCAAACTTCTGCCTGGGTATCCTGGCATTTCCACACATTTTCTGGTCCCCAAACCTTAATTCTTGACTTCTGTGCACACACAGGCTCAATGCCACATGGAAGCCTCCAAGGCTTGGGGCTCGCATCCTTTGAAGCAATGGCCTGAGATGCATGTTGGCCCCTTTTAACCACAGCTGGATGTGAAGCAGCTGGGATGCAAGAAACTATGACACAAGGCTGCAGGTGGGCCCTGGGTCAAGTCTGCAAAACCATTTTTTCCTCCTAGTCCTCCAGGTCTGTGATTGGAGGGCTGCTGTAAAAGTCTCTGACATCCCCTGAAGACATTTTCTCCATTGTCTTGGTGATTAACATTAAGCTCCTTGTTACTTATGCAAATTTCTGCACTGGCTTGAACTTCTCTCCAGAAAATGGGTTTTTCTTTTATACTGCATCATCAGGCTGCAAAATTTCCAAACTTTTATGGCCTACTTCCTCTTAAATGCTTTGCCTCTTAGAAATTTCTTCTGACAGATACCTTGAATCATCTCTCTCAAGTTCAATGTTCCAAAGATCTCTGGGGCAGGGACAAAATGCTTCCTGTCTCTTTGCATAGAAAGAGTTACCATATTACAGTTCCCAACAAGTTCCTCATCTCCATCTGTGACCACAATAGCCTGGACTTTACTCTTCATCTCACTGTCAGCATTTTGGTAAAAGCCATTCAACAAGTCTCTTAGGAAGTTCCAAACTTTCCTGCATTTTCCTGTGTTTTTCTGAGTCCTCCAAACTGTTACAATCTCTGCCTGCTACCCATTTCCAAATTTGCTTCCACACCTTTGGATATCTTTACAGCAGCACCCCACTCATGGTACCAATTTACTGTATTAGTCCATTCTCACACTGCTAATAAAAACATATGTGAGACTGGGTAATTTATAAAGGGAAGAGGTTTAATTAGCTCACCATTCAGCAAGGCTGGAGAGGCCTCAGGAAACTTACAATCATGGCAGAAGAGGAAGCAAACATGTCCTTCACATGGTGACAAGAAGGAGAAGAATGAGAGCCAAGTGAAGGGGGAAGCCCCTTATAAAACCATCACATCTTGTGATAACTTACTCACTCTCATGAGAACAGCATGGGGGAAACCACCCCCATGATTCAATTACCTCCCACAGGGTCTCTCACAACACATGTGGGAATTATGGGAACTACAATTCAAGATGAGATTTGGGTGGGGACACATTCAAACCCTATTATACATCTTCTATTGCAAGAATGAAGCCTGATTCTTAGTAGGTCTCTTTGGGTTCTCATGACAACACATCTAGGAATACTCCTCTGGCTCACAGACTGGGTGACATAAAAGGCTGCAAATTTTATGTAGAACCTTGAGTACAAAAGGGCTCTGCAGCAGATCCAGAATGTGATATAAGCAATCACACAATTAGGTCAGGTAGTCTGAAAGACCCGATGGTGTTATTGTCATCAGTGGTAGAAAAGATGCAGTGTAGAATTTATCCCAAGCCATAGAGGAAAAATCATAATGACCTACCAAGTCATTAAATTGAGGAATGCTAGCAGCATTCACTATAAAGTAGAAATGGTACAATCAGGATAAAACATGAGCAGTAAGTAGTAGAGATGATGAGTTAATTTTTATAAGCAGATAGCTCAGGCCCCCATGTGACTCCAGGACCCCCCACTCATTTCACACCCACAACCATATGGATCTATGACTTGCTGAAAAAGGAGGAAAGAGAGGTCAACTTAGTACATGGTTGAGATACAGTAGTAGCCTTGAAATACAGTAGCACAAAAATAATCTCCCAGTAGGCAGAGCTTTACATGGTGTACCAGGTCATCCTTTTTATATGTAAGAAAAAGTTGGCTGAGGTGAGAATATATATAGACTCAAGGGCAGCAACCACTGACCTTGCTGATTTTTCTGGGTTCTGAAAGGAAAAGTAATATACAAGTGAAGATAAGAAGCTCTAGGAGAAAGGTATGTGAAGGGTATCAACATATGATGGGGAGGAACATACTAATACTCATCAGAAAACAGTCACCTTGGGAAAGAAACAAAAAAATCAATCAGACAAAATAAACTGTTCAATTAATGTTAGAGTCTTTCTCATTGGCTACATGGAGGCTATGCATGGGCCTAACAGCATGAACTCCCACTTACCAAGGCCGTCTAGCAACGGCTGCCTCTGAATATTCAACTTTCCAGCAACAGAGACCAGTGCTAAGCTCCTGATAGGATATATGCCAAAGGAATATTTGGTAGCAAGTTAATTATATTGGACCATTTCTACCTTGGAAGGCTCAGCAACTTATTCTGAGTATGTGTTTCCCTTTCTTGCCCACAGAGCCTCAGTCAGCACTGAGGGGCTTACAGTACCTGATCCCACAGAATTGGAATCTAATCTGACATGGGACCCATTTTACAGCTAAGCGGGTAGAGAAATGGGACTATGACAACGGAATGCACTGTCCGCATTCTATCTCCACTGTATAGAAGTTGCCGTTCCGATAAAGCATTAGAACAGACAGATGAAAGCACTCAGAAAGTGATGCTCCCAGGGAATACTCTGAAAGAATGGGATGCTATCATCCAGCATGCAACATTTGCACATGCAATATCAGAGACTTCTGTTTGATGCTATTCTTTGGTGGAAACCATCAGTCTAGGTATCAAAGGTTGGAAAAGAAGGCGATGCCACTTATCATCGTTTCCAATGACACACAAAGGAATTTTATACAACGTTACCTGCAGAATTAGAGGGCCTGGTCCCAAAGGAGGCAATTTATCCAAAGGACAAAATAAAGATCACATTGGAACTACAAGCTGTGGCTGCCATATGAGCTCTCAGGACTTATTTTTTACAGAGAACAGCAGGCAAGAAGAAATGTCACCATATTGGAAGTGGTAATTGACCCTATTTACATGGACAAGATAGCGTCTGCAGACATACATGTGGAATTCAAGTAATCAGTTTGGACATCTCTTTGTACTCTCTTGATTACTTGGGAATGTGACTGCACAAATACAGAAATCTCTCCTGAGAATAGTATGGTTATCAGAAACTAAGTTATCTCAGGAAATACTGTGGACCACAGCCTTTGGTGAGCCACCAAGATTGGCAGGAGGTGATAGCTGAGGGCAAAAGAAATTTAGAATAAAAAGTGAAGGTGTAAAATAAGTGCCAGTTGTAATCCTGAATATAGCTGCATCATTGAGGCTGTAGCTCATCCCACTAACCTCCCTCCTAAATATTCCCCGAAGAAGAAAGACCCACCAAAACACGTGAGGCTCCCCAAAAGCATATCGTATCTGTATAAGGAAGTGGGGGACTGTAGCAGTCATTGAATTCCCTACACAGATCTTTCATAAAACAATTTGCTGCTGTTCTGCTGCAAGAAATGCAGTTAGGAGGACCGCTCCCAGCTTCAGCACCTTCAGGATCTGCCTCAGCTTTCAGGTTGAGGCCATCAATTTCCTGAGCAAGTCAGCAAAGAATAAGCATGGAGAAGTACTATGTCTAATCACTTCTGCCTAACAGAGGACTCCTCTAAAAAGAGATCTTTGCTTCGAAGTTCTCCTTCTATTTGGCAGAGACTTATTTCTATGCATTGTATGGGCTGGGGCTTTCTCTGCCCCACTCCTGCTTCCCCTCCACTTCCTTTTTACATACATTAGATCTAAAGGCTTTCCACCCAATTTTTCTTATACATAATTTTATCTTTTACAGCACGTATAACCGAATAAGTTGTTATCACCCTTAATTCTGTCTGAGTGCCTGGTTCCCAAGGGTCCTATCTGATGCGGAACTCCAGAATACGTTACAAGGATATTCGTTAAGATTGTTCAGCATTAAGGTAAATTTTAGCTGAAGGGCTTTTCGGAATATCTTTTCTGACACATGCTTTAATTGGAAATCAATTATGCTTACAATTTCTTTGGGGTTTATCCTCCATATTACCAATATGCACTTCATTTCTTTGATAGTTTATTTTTCTCCTCCCTTTGTTGACATGCTCCTATTTTATGTCCTTTTATTATCTTTCACCATTTTTCCTGAGATCTTGTTTTCCCTTCAAACTTTTATTCCTCTTAATATTTATTAATACTTAAATATTAATACATTTTATTCATATTAATATTCATAATTTTATTCATATTAATATCGCATTAATATTTTATTCATATTATTTTTCTTTAATTCATGGTGATATAGCCGGTGACCAATTGATTCAGCTCTATAGCTGTATTTTTTTGGTTATTCTACTCTAAAGAAGCTTTTCCTCTTCTTTTTCTCTGGTTTACAACATTATTTTATAGAACCTATTTCATTTATTATTATTATTGTTAATCTTTGAGATGTTAAAGAAAAGCTGAGCTATATTTAAAGTTAGAAAGAACCTTTACTGGTCCACGTAAAGTTCTTTATAAAGCACAAAGTTGTAGGAATGAATGACTTGATTTTTTTCTGGACAAAAGTGACTGATAGCTGAAATGTTGCTCATTTCCTGAACGTAGGTGTTCAGGAAACACCTGAACTAAGTCTAGGGATCTCCTGCCAATAGACACACTCTGTTTCTATTGTTGAAAATAAGAAATGTTGGTTTTTTCTCTTCTAATAAGTGTCATCTACTCTGCACTGCAACGTTCTGTAGGTGTCTCCTTACATCTGCACCTCTGTTTAATTTTTTTTTCTTTTTTTTTTTTTTTTTTTTTTTTTTTTTTGAGATGGAGTCTTGCTCTTGTCATCCAGGCTGGAGTGCAGTGGTACGATCTCGGCTCACTGCAGCATCCACCTCGTGGATTCAAGCAATTCTCCTGCCTCAGCTTCACAAGTTGCTGGGATTATAGATGCCTGGCACCATGCCGGGCTAATTTTTGTACTTTTAGTGGGGACGGGGTTTTGCCATGTTGGCCAGGCTGGTCCCAAACTCCTGACCTCATGTTATCCGCCCACCTCAGGCTCCCAAAGTGCTGGGATTACAGGGATTACTGGGATTACGCCTGGCTACTTCTGTTTAATTCTGATGATATTTGACAACCTGTTCTTTTACATTATAGTTGATATTCATATGACTTTTAGCTTTATCCAAAATGAAGATAACATTTTTCCCTTCCTTTCTCTTTATTGTTTGAGGATAATTTCCAAGAAGAGAAAGACATTAAACTGTCTACTTTAATATTTTTAAACCAGAGTTTTATATTTATATTTTACACATAATGCATTAGGGATACAATTTTCAAAACTACTAAACAATGTATTTTTTACTCTTTTTCTTAATCATATGTTTCTGATTCTCCCTACACATTGAATCAGTGACATCAATTCAGAGAGAGAGAAAACACCACAGAGCATTTTTTAAAAGTACTGCTTAGCTTCATGTCTAAAATTAAATTTTGGCAAGTCTAATGAAAAAAGACTATACAGTAATGCTTTGTTGTAAATAACAATAAACTATTAAACAATAAATATCTTCTTTAATATATAACAAACAAAATGTTTGTCATAAACTATAGTTTTTCCTATTAACTATAGTTTATGGAGGATGGAGGATATGACATAAGAAAGAACCAGGGTAGGAACAGAGGCCTAATAAAGGAAGAAGTAAGAGGGAGAAAAAAGGACAGAATCGCAGGTTGTAGCTATTCAGGTTCCCCTCTTGTAGTCAAAATATGGAGGAAAGTTGCAACAGGTGATAGTAACAAGAGTGTTATTTGGCGCAGCTAGCATAGTTAGCTCTCTGTGTGGCTAGTCCTTGCTTTCTAGCATACATCTCAAGAAAACTGCAAGCTCTTTGGAGAGCCTTATGATGAAGGGGATACCTGACATACAATGAGGAGGAAACTGACATACATAAAAATGGCTAAAAAGATGATCAGCGTATAGGTCTACATCAGGACCTCTCAGTTCTTAGTGTTTGGTACGGAACAAGGGGGAAATCCAAAAGTTTCTATATACCCTGCTCAGAATAGCTGAGCAACCAATACACAAAGAGAGGGCAGCGATTGGGTGATGTGTGAGTGTGATGACCTTGAGCTCAGAGTCCATGACAAGTCAGACAAATTTCAGGAAGATGTGCAGTTACAATAATCCAAAATTAGTGAAATTCTCAGAGACCACAAGCATAAACATGCAGTCCAATGGATTAACATAAACCTGCCAGAGTGCAGATAAGGTCAATAGAAAAAAATAGGATAGTAGATAGAACAAAGTTCCATTTTTCTGAGGCTAGAACATATTTAACCCTCCCCAGTATCCAGGCACCATCTCAAGAAGGACACATGAAAAGAGAAACTGACAGAAAAAGGAAAAGAAAGAGACTTAATGAGGAGTAAGAACGCTGAAGTAACCTAAACTTTTTTAAACTTTAAGAGGCTAAATTATATTCAACTGGTAAGTTTCCAATTTTTCTACCAAAAATCAGAAAAATAGACACATGACAATTATGGTTATAGAAATATTAACAATTTGGTTTGTTTTTGCATATAGTAGCTATGAAAAATTGAAATTACATTACATACAAGGTAAACTTTTACCGTTTTCTTAAGTTAATGACATGAAAATCACTTTCAACTTTATTAAAACTATTTGCAAATATCTGTTTTAATGACTATATAATGTTCTACCTTGTATAGACTGTAGTTTAAAAAACAATTCCATTGATGCTAGGTACCTGTATTTTTCTTTTATTTATTATAAAAATTATGACATAATAAGTGAGCTATCTCCTACTGTCCTAGAATTGTGTCTAATGTCAAAGTCTGGGGACAATAATTACTAATTATTTCATATTTGAAAGGGAATCACTGGTGAGCAGTCAACAAAGGGAAGCACATGTCACTCCTCAAAGCTTTTCAGAGGTGTGTGATGGTAAATCTTATATGTCAACTTGACTGGGCCATGAGTGCCCAGAGAGTTTGTCAACTGTTATTCTAAATATTTCCAAGAGGGTGCTTAGATGACATTAACAAATTGATAGACTCAGTAAAGTAGATTGCCCTCCCTAATGTGGATAGATCTCCTACAATCAGTTGAAGGCCTGAATAGAACAAACAAAAGAAGCAAATCCTTCCATAAATAAGGAGAATTCATACTAGATGACTGCCTTTGAGCTGGGATATCTGTTTTTCCAGCTTTTGGCCTCAGATTGAAGCATCACCTCTTCATGGGTCTTGAACCTGCTGGCCTTCAGACTGAAACTACATCACCACCTCTCATGTGTCTCCAGCTTGCTGACTGCGGATATTGGGACTCATCAGCTTCCATAATCATGTACATTTATTCTTTATTTATATATTTATATCTCATGTTGGCTTTGTTTTTTGAGGAACCCTAACACATGTGACAGAGCTTTTGCTACCTAAGCCTCATACTCACATATGTAATCTCTCAAATAAAAAGACAGGGCAGGAAAAAAAGAAGTCAATAGTCAAGAGACATGGGCTATGCCTAGAGACCAGTGTGTGGGAAAGCAGGTTAGTCATTCTCTTCTCCCTAGAGAACTTGAGAGGGCTGCTTCCTTCATACCCTAAGCCAAGTAAGGTGGCACCTCTGAGACACTTGCAGACACAGTAAAGCCTGAAAGGCGGGGAGAGTGGCATCATTCTCCTTCTAGTGGCTTGCTACCCTGCATCCCTATAGACCTCTGCAGTGCCCCCAGCAGAGTGGAATCAGTTGTGGTGAGGTACCTGTGAAGAGTACTTACATGTATTCCCTGTTTGCAGATGTATGTCAACAGGAAAAACGGGGCTAGAGATTTCCAAAGAGAGAAGAAACTACTGGAGAAACCTGTGCCAACAAGACCTGAAGGGAACTTGGTGAAGAATGTCCCATGCCCAGTTGTTCTTAGCTCTCAAGGAGTGTAGAAGATGACCTAGTATGGTCTGCAGATCCAAGTGAAGTGTTACAAAGGTTAGAGGAAAAGGAGAGTTACCGAGGTAGATCTGGACCAAAAAACAACAACAACAACAACAACAACAACAAAAACTTTCCCCACTGGGAGGGCTGAAGGGAAATTTAGAGTCTTCATCCATAGTTGGGGATACAATAAAACTAAGCACTCCCCAAGAAACTATGCTCACCATCAATTCAGAGACCAACACAACAGCAGGATGCAGGAGGAAATATAATCAGATGAAATCAGAGAGAGAACAAGAACACCTTCTTGAGATACCTTCTTGGTACCCACACCTGGGACACAGGCCATGTTCATAATACAGTCTATTCTCTTCCTTGTCCTGCCCACAGGGGATATATTTTGATGGGGAAGTGTGCCCAAAGTCATAGCTGCCTTTCTGCCTCATCTCAATCCCTTTGATTCAACAATCTAGTTTTGCTGAGAAGGGGGCAGGCTTTGAGTCAGATAAAAAATCTGAAATCTGAATCTATATAGTACTACTCTTCCATAAGTAAAAAGTATTCAGAAGTTCATTAATTCTGCTCAAAATCTTGTTGAGAGATAGTGAAAAGGGGATTTAACATGCCGCAATTTAAATCAGAGGCTAGAAGAAATAATACTATTTCAGGATATATACCCAAGAGGCTGAAACTTCTTAGCCTTTTTAATGAACCAATTATAACAATGGGTTGAAATTAAGAGTCTAGTGAATTATAGCTTCTAATTTTTTTCCCTCTGGATTTTCAGTTGTTTCTTTAGGATAGATTCTTAGAAGTAGGATTACTGTATTAAATATTTTTGTTTATGAGGAATCGAAACACATTTGAACTATCTTATATTAAAGAAGGAGATCTCACTGTGATATAATTTCAGAAGTGTGTCATGAACTCCATTGATGGGGATGATACTGGACTGCAGGCTAGGATGTACCCAGGAACTGGGACACTGAAAAACTTTTCTCTTTATCATTTTGATTGTCTGAACATCTGCCTATAATTCCTCTGTTGACAAAGTAGTTTCTTCTTCCTCTCTTTAGTCTGAATTTTACATTAGAATCTTTAAATAATCTACAACCAATTTTATTGTATTATCTAAGACCTCAGTCTCTTCAGAAAAAAAAAAGTCTCAACACCTAACCAGTTGTCCCAGCTTTCTAATGAATAATTCACCTTACCTTGCTAATTAATGTTTCTACTTTATTATATATTAAATTATATAATAGAATTTATATATAATCAGACTAATTCTTCATATTTCTCTGCTGATTTCATAATTATAGTTTCAGAACATGTTTTAAAATCTGGAAGAGCTAATCTTTCTAAAGAACTTTTTTTCACTGTTCTTAGCTATTTTTCACCTTTTCATGTAGTTGAATTTCAAAATCAGCTTGTCACAATTAAAAATGAAAGCTTTAGTGATATTTTGACTGGGATTAGATTAGATTTGTGCATTAATTGTCGCTCCTCACTGGAATATGGAATATCTCCACATTTACGTATTTTGTTTTGTGTGTACATGAGTAATTTTTGTTTTTTTTAAAAGATCATACATGAATTTATGAAAGTATCAATTATAAGATATTACTTTTTTATTTTCTAATGTATTATTGCTCGTATGTAAAAAATGTATTAATTTGTTGCATTTTTTACTAGTTCTAACAATTTTATCAGTAGATTGTTTCGGCTCTTTAGTTGGTTTTTGTATTTTATATAGTATTACTTCATAATTTACAACAGACTTGCTCTTTTCCTTTTTACCCCTGGGCACGTGGATCAATGCTTCTTCTTCCTGCTTCAATGATATATGCACTTTTAGCTTGCAGTTGCAGTGCTTTCTTTTACATGGACCCCAAGAATTACAGTATGCATTGGAACAAAGCAATCCCACAAATGTACATTATTTATAGTGTATTGATTAACAATATCTGTGCTTACAAAAATCAATTAAACAAGATTACATACTATAGCAGTTTCCAAACAGTGCCCTAAAACTATAAACTGTAATTAGTGGTATATAGTTCATGTGACAAAATGTACAAACAGGCTGTAGCTCTGGTGAAAGACTCTATTTCCTCTAACAGATCCATTAGTTATTGCTCACAGTTCAAAAACTGAATAGCTGTGTCTCCTTTTGAGAGTAAACCCCAGGTCCAGGTGTGGTGGAAAGCCTCTGCTATCTAGAAGGATCCAGCCAATATCATCTTAATTGAATATGCATGAGTAGAGGTAGATGCTCTGAGACCAAGAATTTACACGAGTAGAGGTAGATGTTCTGGGTTCACTTATCTCTCCATTAAGGAAAACATCCTTCTCTTAAATTTATAATTACCCAACTGATATTTCTATCTAGATAATGATTCCTTCTGTTCAAACACTTAAATGTAGAGAAAATACCACTCAGGAACAAGATGAAGGAATTTGGTATCATTTTTCCTGCATAGATTCCTTGGAATCTCACATGAGGGTTCTGTCCTATTTAGGTTAGCCCTCTTAGAGGAGTCAGGAGCCTGGCCTTCAGTGGATGCCATGCCTAGGTCTTTCATTGTTAGCCTGGTCCCCCCACAGGCTTGTTGTCAATGGCACTGTCTTTGTTCCTGCCTTTTTATCTCAGAGCCACTGACCTGCTATTGCTTGAGCTGAGATAAAATAATAATATCTGTAGATATTCACAGTGGTCCGAGTGGGAGGCTTGATATCACAGTAACTCAGAAAAAGGATAAAAAGGTATAGCTAGCAAACAGCAGAGTGCACGAGCTCCAACTTTAATTGGAGCTGCTATGTTGAACAACAAAGAAAACAGGTTGACTCATTTGGTTTCTATTGTACTGGAGAGATGGGGTTATTTTAGTATGTGTCCTAGCTATCCCTTCTAGAGCATCAAATAGAAATAGATTGGTCCAAGCCCTAGTGAATGCATTTGGCTCATAATATAGTTTGCATTTAAATCAAATTTATAGTTGCCCAAAATAGATTCTCCAACTGCGCAGAAGTCACATAAGTAGCAGGCATAATGATAAGGGTGTTTTTTTTTTCATGCATTAAAAAACACAAAAATTGCTAAAGATACACTTTTCAATTGTTATCCATCCTACTGAGACTATTGCAAGGGTTCAGGTTCTCCTCAATTACACTGAAATGATGCACTTTTGTCTGCTGTTCTTTTAAATCCCTATTATCTCTAAATGTGTTTTTCTGCAATACTAAAAGGTGTCAAGGAAATACCAGGAAGCTCAAAAGGTTGTTGGTTCTTTCTTTATTTTTTCTCTGTTACTTTTTCCCCTTTTTCTTTCTTTTTATGAGGGTTCATGGGTACAGTTTAACTTTATTCTTCCCAAGCAAGGGCCCTCAACTGGGACATTTTGCTTCTTAGGGGATCTTTGACAACGTTTGAAGACATTTTTGGTTTTCACAACTGTGCATGGATGGGGAGATTCGCTACCAGCTAGTGGGTAGAGGCCAGAGATGCTGCTAAACAATCTATATTGTATAGGACAGTCGCCACAACAAAGATTTATTCAGCCCAAATGTCAATAAGATTGAAATTGTTCCAGAAGAAAAATACAAGATTGATTACAAATATCTTTAATATGACTTTTAGAGAAGGCGAATTTACATGTTTTCACTCTATAATTTTGAATTTAGATTGGGGGATTTGTGTCTTGTGGGGCTTATACCAGTGGACTGTGCCTTGAAGTTGCCAACACTACTATTTTTTAAAAATAAGCCATAGATCTGATGCCACTTTTCTATTTCATATTCTCCTCTAATATATTGCTAATATATCTAATTGAAATTATTTGTCTGTGATGGAAAAATAGCACTGAAATTCTTGGCAGTTACATTTACCTAGAAAGAGTGGTATTTAAATAAATTTTAAGTTGTTTTCTAAAGAACTTTTGATGAGAGGATAGAAGACACTCTATTCTAAAAGGTGGCATCTTGGCATTTGAAAAAGCAGCAGGAGAAGGAAGGTCACTCACACCTTCCCCTTGTGTTTCTTCCCTGAAGCAGGTCATAAAACCTAGGGAGGACACTCACTGACCTTCCTATGCTCTTCTTCCCTGAAGCACATCATAGGACTCTCAGTCAAAAAGAACTCTTCCTTTACTTAGAGGAAAGAAATATCCTTATTAACAAAGACACAGAAATACCAGAAACACTCCAAAACAAAAACAAAAACAAAAAACAGGCCCTTGTCAAGTTCCCCCTAATTTTTTATCATCAGATCGTATCTTTTTGTCCTCCAATCATATTTCTCGACTGTTCATTCTTTATCAAACATAAAGATAAAAATACACAAGTTTACCAGTTTCTTTGAGTCTTCATTTTCAAAGGCTCTCACGTCCTGTAAAACCTATATTAAATAAATATGTGTGTGATTCCATTCTTAATCTGTCTTTTTGTACAGTGGCCTCAGCTGTGAACCTAGTATTAGGTAAAAGAGAGATACTGATTTTCCTCTGTTACACTGAGAAGGCTAAATTTGTATGTATACTTTGATTCTATCAACATATAGTGAAGAGTCTTTGGTGAACCCTAATTTTGTAGTTTGAGTGTTGGTCTTTAATATTTTTACTTTTTATTGTTTACTTTCATTTTTACTTTTCTTTCTTAGTTTTTTCAAGGGTTTTGATAGGTAACATTAGTATTTGAAGTTTTTCACATAAAAAATGCTCTTATAAAATATGGAAAAGTTATACACATATTGACAGTTCAGAAATTACTGGATCCAAGGCACAACGTGATCAAGGCCAAACAATAAAATCCACATGTATGGAATGGCTGGAGCCAGTCATCATAAAAATAATAAAGGAATTAAAGCGATCTGTCTTCTGATACCTGTGTTCACATCTGGTATGACGTCTTAGATAAAGAAACATTTTACCTTAACCCGGACCTTAACCCCTTCTCAGGCTTCCAGGATTAGATTTACGCAATTACATGTAATTTTTTTTTTAATCCTTTCTAAAACAGCTCCAACAAAGGAAAAAAAAAATGTGCTTCCTTCAAAAACTCCTACTAAACATCAAGTGTTCAATCTGGTGTTTCTCCAAACCTATCAGTAGAAATAAAAATGTCAATATTAAAAGCAGTGCCCCTTCACTGTGGATGGTTCTGTCCCCCAAGAGATGCATGACCTCTGGAGACATTTCTGGTTGTTACAACTGGGGAGGTGGGTATCACTGTTGACATTGAGTCGGTAGAGGCCAGGGATGCTGCTAAATTCCGGACAGCTCCCCCACAACAAAGAATTACCCAGTCCCAAATATCAATAGTATTAAGATTGAAAAACCCTGACTAAAAGGATAAACCAAAGATGAGTTCATAGGTGAATCCCATTCTCTTTAATGCAGTTAGCTACAGAGTAAGAAACCACACTGGAAAACATGTTTCTAAACTAATGGTTTTTTTAAGTCTCTTTTTATTCTTTCACTTTAGGGGTTTTGGATTTAAGCTCATGATAGGGAGCGTGTATGTTTAAAAAATTTATAAAGCAAATTAAAGGCTGCATTGCACTTTTATTTGCATTTTCTCATGTTACTAGACATCATTCCACAGGATGCAGACTTACAAGGTAAACTAGTCTGTCAGTCACTTGAGAGTGCAGACCACTATAGAAGCCAATTCTGACAAATCTGATTTGAAGTAGTTCCAAAAAGATTCTCCTGAGACTGACTTTTCCATGGATTTAACCTAAAGGAAGCTCTAGGGACCTTCAACTGATATGTCACTTTATGAATACAGCAGCAAAATCCCTGACCACTAGTCCTCTTGGGTGCTCATAGCGTAAAGCTTGAGTAACACATAGTTGGAATAAATAAAAATTAAGAGGTGGTACAAAGGAAAAACATAAAGAGCTTTGAATATGGTTTGCCAAAAGTAAGCAGTAGATAAAGAAATTAAAATAAGATTAAAGGGGGAAATATGACTATGAGTAATGGGTTATTAGTGAAAAACAGACATTCGGGCCATGTTCTTGACCTTTGATATTTACAACAACCATAGACAGCACTTTCACACTGCTGCCCCCTAACCCACTGTGGGCCAGTTCAGGGACATTGTTAGACTGAAAAACATCATGGGTCTGAATTGTGTGGTCAGTTTCATTTCAACTTTAACATGAATTGTGAAAGGGCCTTTGATGTTCTAAATCACATAAGCCAGCTAAGTTTATTTTGCTTAGCTCATAGTAGATGCACACTAAATATGCATATGTTCCACAAGTATGAAAAACATTAATGCAGATAAGTTACTCCAACGAAAACAATTAAAACTGACATTTTATAGGTGAGCAAACTAAAGCACAGAGTTTATGTAATTTGCCCAAAGGTTCATATAGAGTGAATGGAAGAGCCAGGATCTAAACATTACTATGCAAATGAAAATAGAAAAATGTAGATAAGAATCATCAGTAAATTCATCATAAGTATTTTTTTACATCTTTGTATATATTTAAGCTTAGATGTACACATAGGTTTTTAAGAGCAAAAGTATATTATTCATTTTGTCTTGTAATATTCTTTTCTCTCTTAACAATGCATCATAAACATTATTCAAAATCAGCAATCAGCAGGTCCCATATTGGTAACTGATTAGTAATCTGTGAAACCATATTCCACAAAATGTTAAGAGTCGTGCTGCCAGAACCTAAACCAAAATAAAAAGATAAACAAAATTAAAGTGAATGGTTGCCAAGGGCTGGAGGGATGAGAAAATGTGGAGTTTTTTTCAATGGGTATGAAATTCCAGTTACACGAGACGAATAAGTTCTAGAGATTGATGTACAACATAGTGCCTATAGTTAACAATACAGTCCTGTGCACTTAAAAAATTGTTAAGAGCCAGGCGCAGTGGCTCACGCCTGTAATCCGAGCACTTTGGGAGGCTGAGGCGGGCAGATTACGAGGTCAGGAGATCGAGACCATCCTGGCTAACACGGTGAAATCCCGTCTCTACTAAAAATACAAAAAAAAAAAAAAAAATTAGCCGGGCGTGATGGCATGGCCTGTAGTCCCAGCTACTTAGGAGGCTGAGGCAGGAGAATGGTGTGAACCTGGGAGGCAGAGCTTGCAGTGAGCCAAGATGGTGCCACTGCACTCCAGCCTGGACGACAGAGTGAGACTCCATCTCAAAAAAAAAAAAAAATTGTTAAGAGGGTAGATCTCATGTTTAGTGTTCTTACCACAGGGGGAAAAGGAGAGCACAAAAAACTCTTGGAAGTGATAGATGTATATATTACCTTGTCGTGGTGATAATTTCATGGGTATATGCATATATGCCCAAATTTATCAACTTGTATATATTAAATATGTGTAGGTTTTATATATCGATTACACCTCAATAAAAGAGAAATTAACAAAAACACATTTTAAAGGTCTTGCTAATATAAATAGCTATTATTAATGTTTTGCTAATATTATTAACTATTATTTCAAAACATAGTGTACACTTAGGGTAAAGTTCATCATGATGGTAGTTGATGTAAACATATATCTTTAGTAGATCTTAAGTTCTACTTTTTCAGCCTATTTCTTGTTAGATCCTATTAGACTGTTAGTGTTTTTAATTCATAATATGCCTGATTATGAGCACAAACAGAATATATATAACTGAAGACTGCAATACACAGCAATAAGCTCAACGAAAACAGGAACATCATCTTTTTACGGATCTCACTCTTCCCATAGGAACCATCATGTAACTTAACATGCAAACTTCTGACATATGGACCAAGTGAGGTTCCAATGTCAATGAGAATATAAATACCAGTGAAAATGTACTTAGAAATTACAGCATTTTGTTTCTATATCATCGTGGATCAGCTTAAGAATCTTGGCCTTAAGAAATATACTTCCATGAAATGGTATAGATAGAAGAGAGATTACTATGAACTAATGAGAGAGTGGGAGGAGAGGAAATAGAAATATTCCAGGTGGACTTGTATTTCAAGTAAACTTCCCGAGAAAGAAAGGAAGGAATTCTACATAAAAACATGAGGATGTCAAGGAAGTCTATGTACTTCATTTGCTCATTCTTAAAATTAATATTTCTTGAGTATGTCTAAATATCAAATATATGTTGGTGGAAGAAAAGCCAGTGGAGAAAGATGTATTCTTTCTCTCATGAGATGTATTCATTCTCTTATAGATGTAATCTAGTGTCTCATGTATTTTTCTCCTCTTTTCACTGGCTTTGATAAGGAAAAATTGAATGCAGGACCAGAGGGACTGAACTATTGTAACATACAAAAAGAGGGCTTTCTTTCTACAGTTAGTAGAACTGGGTCAATATATGAAAATATCTCATCTAGAAAGATACAGCTTGGCTCAAGCTATGCCAGGGACCAGAAATGAATGCAAAAGTAGATGAATGGACAAGAACCAGTGTGGCAATACAGAACCAGAAAAACAAAAGAGATGGTAACCCTGAGGTGAATTGCAGCATTTCCTTCATCATCTTAGGACAAATTTGAATGATGGAATCCAGTGAGCAGAAATTGGAAGTTAAACCAGAGCCATCTCATATGTCTATCATCCCTTATCAATTAACTTCTAAATTCATAAATATCTACTCAGTGTTTGACATATTCCAAACAATGTGTTGGGTGTTGACAATACAAAAATAAAACAGACATGTTTTTTGCTCCTACATTTGTTTTATAATTCTTGTTGTTATACCTCTGAATTATTTAACAAAGTACATATAGTCTATTTCATAGTGTCAGACATCATTCTTAAGTAAATTTTATGTACAGATCTTGACCAGGAAAAAAAGACACCTTCAGTATTGGATAGGGAGACAAGTGAACATGGTGGATTCCTTAAGTGCACAGAATTGTTTTCGAGTAGTACATAAATCTACATCATCTCACTGAGATATGCCAACAGCTTCAAGGACACAAGTATATCTTCTTGTTTTCTGGAAATCCATTATGTGAAGTATCTCAATTATTATTTTAAAAGAAAAAAAAAGTCATCTGAGTAACCGAAACAGAAATAAAGTCATGCTTTGTTACACCAGTGTGTATGTAAAAGAAAGAGAGAATACAAAAAGATAGCTCATGGACAGTACTATTGAAAGACAGTTTTAAATTTTTCCTCTCCTTTCAAAATTTAGTTTTAACTTTTAATATCCTCGGTCTTGACACCAAGCAATTTCATGAATCCTGCAGTCCCAACTTTATGTGCTGTATTAAAAATATATATGTATTATTATTTCAAACCATACCAAGGAGATAACACTGCCTTCCCAGAGTGAATAGATCATTGCCAGTGAAGTAGCTCAGAGGGGACAGAGAAAAGGGGTTGGAAAAGAAAATGACAGGAATAAAAGAGAGAAAGCCTAGCTAGAGATCAAGAAGGGAAGACAT